TGTGAACGCCCCAAGCAACACTCTTTCTTGCACCACTTGCAAGTTGCCCACCACAGTCCGGTCTTCGGGTCCTTCCACTTATCAAAATTGTTTTGCATAACAGAAGAATTACTTTCCATCTTTAAAATGGTAGATGTATAAGTACAAATGTAGGATAATAAGAGAAGATGAAGATGGAGAAGAGTTGGATAAGAGGTGTAGAAAAATGTTAGAAAATAGATGTATTTATAGATTTTTTTAACCCCACCCCCGACACCCCCCTGCCCCCCACCCTAAGCCCCAACGGCTATATAGCCGTTTGGGAGCAATTTTGTATTTCAAAATGTTTTAATTTTTTTTTTGAAAATTATACATATTGTAAAATAAGTTAATTAATTTAATGAATTAAGTAAAACTATTTTTACTTATAAAAGTGATTTGATTTATAATTTACAAATGTTACAAAATAGGTGTATAATTATTTAAACAAATTACATATTGAAGTTGTAACTTGTAAGTTTGTAACCAATTAATTAATTTACATATTAATATTATTTTGAATTGATTACAAATTTACAAATTAATACAAATTTTATGAGAATTATTGAAATATGAAGTACAAGTTTACAAATTAATTTTATTGAATTGATTATTGAATACATTTTTTTTTAGAATTATTGAATTGATGTACACAATAATATAAAATAATTCATGTATATTTATTTCAAATAAGAAGTACAATTGAGAATTAGGATGCATTTAAAAAATGTAATACATTTTGTAATAAAAAATCAATCGGAATCTCCGCCTTCGGTGGTTGTTTCCTCCATAAAGTGGCGGATGGGAGCGATGATCATTTCTTGAGTTCTTCGTTTGGCCTTCAACCAATCGTGGAAGCAAACTAGCGTCTCAAGAGAGATCGGGCTCAACCTCGTTCTATAATCGGTTAGGACGTTGCCGGCCGCACTAAATTCTTGTTCCACGGCAACTGTTGATATCGGCATTGCTAGCACTTGCTTAGCCATCTTTGATAAAACCGGGAACGTTCTTTCATTTTCCTTCCACCACTTAAGAACGTCAAAGTCATCCCCAACTTCATAATCAACATTCAATGTTAGATACAAAGAAAGCTCGTTAACTGAGCTTTGTTCAGTAGCGGGAGTTGCTCTACTTTTTTTCATAAGAGAACCAAATGCAGATTTTAAAAGTGATTTTCCTTTAGATGAAGAAGATGTTCGCGGCATGGGAGGGGGTGCATTACCATACTGTGCATGAAATTCATTATACAATTGATGAAATAAATTACTAACCTCGTTGTATTCTTGTTTAGGGTCGATGGGATTATCATCGAACTCTTGAGTTGGAAAAAAACAAGCATAATAGTAATCTATACAACTTGGCAACGAGGCAAGTTTATAACGAGGATCAAGAACAAATGCAATACCATATATATGCGGAACATGTGAATAATATTTTAAAAACTTTTGTTTCATGAAATCACAAAAATAACTAACGTAAGCGGCATCAGAAAATTCTAAAAAAGCGCTGGCGAGATTAACAGCTTCAACAAAAAATTCATTTGCGGTAGGTTTATAAACATGACTAAAAGTTTGAGTTGCGTTATTAAAATATACCAAAACATTAACAATTTTTTCACAAGTGTCGATGTCAGCCGGGTTTATAATATAGTTACAAGTTTGTCTTAAAAAAGCAGGAAAATGTTCTTTATATCTAATAAGTACTTCAATTAAGTTATAAGTATTATTCCAACGAATAGACAAATCTTTAGGAAAAGCACAATAATTGACACGTCTTTCCTTCAAATATTGCCGCCATTGCATTTTTAGTGGAGTGTTAGCCCAAATCAATTTAATTCCCCCCTTCACTACCTCCAAAGCATTTCCTAATGCCGCTAATCCATCTTGTACACACAAATTTAGAATATGACATGCACAACGTTGATGAAAAAACATACCCATCAATGTAGAAGCACCACACAATTCACGCAATCTAGGTATAGCAGCAGTATTATTACTAGCATTATCAAAACCTACAGCAAACACCTTATCAAGCAAATTATACTCAATTAAAATACGCTCAATGAGAATATAAATATTATCAGCAGTATGACGATCATTGAATTCACGAAAAGCAAGAACACGTTTATGCATATTCCAATCATCATCAATATAATGTGCAGTAAGACCCAAATAATATAAATGATGATAAGTATCCTCCCATATATCGCTACAAATACTAACACGTCCATTAAAGTTTGCAAAAAATGTTTGTAAATTTTCTTTTTCGAAGTTATATTGCCTTATAACTTCTTTTTTAATCGTTTTGCGACTATAATTTCTAAATTGAGGATTTAAAGTACCTTGAGCATAATCTCTTAAAGCAAGACTTTCGGAAAAAATATAGGATAAATTTTCTTCAACAATTAAATGAGACATACCAGTCAAATGTTTTTGATCATCATAGGAGAAATTACCAAAGGGTTGAGAATTTGCAAACCTCGATATTTGTGTTTGCTTCCCCTTGCCCTTGTCTATTTTCGCATACTCCACAAGATGGGCGGACTTAAGATGCCTTGTGAGACTCCCGTATCCGCCAGAAGTTCCCAAGCTATACTCTTTGCCGCAATGATTGCAACTTGCGTACCATTTTTCGGTATTTTTGTCTTTCCTTTTTGTAAAATTGTTTTCAATAATAGGAGATTTAGATTTCTTACCAGTTTGGGTTGAACCGCCCTCGTCCTCCAAGTCTTGCTCATCATCCGGGGTGCCGTGAGTCCTGTCGCCCCCCGCGTCCTCCTCCGCATCGTCATCCTCGAGCTCCTCTTCATCAATGGTTGTCGGGATGTGTTGTTCTTGTGCAAAGCGTGGATCGTTTTGGGACAATAGGTTTTGTAGATGCTCGTCGGACATCATCATATCATCTCTCCGTTGGTAATCCGTTTCAAAGTCATCTCGACTTTGAAAAAAAGACTCCGCCCGTGCTTTACCTTTGCCTTTGCGTGAGGTAGGACGAGTCGACGCAATCTCCCTCTTGCGGTTGCGTTGGAGATTACCCACATCTACAGAATGTCTATCACGCTCCATCTTTAAAATTGAACAAATATTAAATGATATCAAATACTTTATATGAGTACAATAGTAATAATAAAATGTGACTAAAAAAACTATAGCAAATTCGAACTAAAATATGAGTATAAAAATCGAACTACTAATTAATACTTTAATGAGAAATGTAGCAACTAACTAATATGAGAAATGTAAAAATTAACTAGTTTTTTTTTTACTTTAATGAGCAATATAGCAATTAACTAATATTAATATACCAAATTTAACAATTAACTACTTTAGCTAGTTTATAAAATGACAAATGTAAAAATTTACTAGTTCTTTTTACTTTAATGAGAAATGTATACTTTAACTAATATCACCTTATGACAAATGTAAAAATTTACTACCTTTTTTACTTTAATGAGAAATGTAGCAAGTAACTAATATTAATATGAGAAATGTAACAATTAAGTAGTTTAACTAATATTATTATGACAAATGTAAAAATTAACTAGTTTTTTTTTACTTTAATGAGCAATGTATCAATTAACTAATATTAATATGACAAATGAAACAATTAAGTACTTTAACTAATATTAATATGACAAATGTAAAAATATACTACTTTAACTATTTTTTTTCTTTAAAGAGAAATGTAGAGAAATGTAACAATTAACTAATTTAATAGATAAATGAGAAGTCTAACAATTAACTACTTTTATAAAATGTATGAATGTGTATAAGTATATATAGTATATATAATGTGTAAATATATTATAAGTAATATATAATATAATGTTTATAGTATATAATATATAAGTATATTACTATAAGATGAGTAATGCACTTATACTTAATACTTTAATATATATATATATATATATAAGTATATATTAACTAAATGTAATATGTAAATATAAGTTAATAACAATAGTATGGATACAAACTAAATATCAAATAAATATGAATGTGTATAAGTATATATAGTATATATAATGTGTAAATATATTATAAGTAATATATAATATAATGTTTATAGTATATAATATATAAGTATATTACTATAAGATGAGTAATACACTTATACTTAATACTTTAATATATATATATAAGTACATATTAACTAAATGTAATATATAAATATAAGTAAATAACAATAGTATGGATAATAACTAAATATCAAGTAAATATGAATGTGTATAGTATATATAGTATATATAATGTGTAAAGAATTATAATATGAATGTGTATAAGTATATATTTATAAGTAGATAATTAATATATAAGTAGATATAATAATTATATAAATTATATATATGTAGAAAGAATTTGGAGAAGATGAAGAATGAAGATGATTGAATATGAGAGATTGAGAGTAGAGAATTAGAGAGTAGGAAGAGTTGTAGAAGAAGAGGTGTAAAAAATGTATAGAAAATAGGAGTATAAATAGGTTTTTTTTGTATACCCCACCCCCCACCCCCACCCTCCTAACCCCCCAGACCCCCCCTCCTATGCTCCCAACGGCTATAGAGCCGTTTGGGAGCTCTCCCAACGGCTAGAAGCCCCTTTACAAATCAAAAAAAAATTAAAAAAACTGACCATTGGAGGCCCGAACCGGGCCCGGCCCGGCCGGGCCGGTTCACTAAAATGGAGGCCCGGGCCCGGACCGCTATACCACCGGGCCGGGTGGCCCGAACCGGGCACAAACCGGTTCACCGGGCCGGTCCGGGCCCGCACAGTAGCGGGCCGGTCCGGGCCCGCACAGTAGCGGGCCAGTCCGGTTCCGGGCCGGTTGGCCCGGCCCGAGTCCATCCCTATCTCCTGGGATTGATCTGCGACCCAGCTCTTTTCCTTTCGCATTCAATTTCCATGGCCTGATTGTTGTTTTACCTCTGTTTCTTGATGATTGTGAGTCGGAAATCACTCCTCAAGCTATTTCTGACCTTGGACTCGTATTTGGAAGGTTGAATTTCGACAAAAAAAAAAAATAATAGACTTAACAACAACAAAAATCATCCCTCACGAACAAAAAAAGAATAGTACAAAGTACGAAGCAGTCATTTGTTGGTGACATGATTGGCTTGCATGCATATATAGACCACAGCAGATTAATTTTAAGAACCCGGAAGAAAAAAGAAAAGTACAGGTATAGAGCAGCCTTTTCTCATATAGGGTACATAGATTACAAATGGAATTTTATTCCCACTATTTAGACCTCAACTCTTCTCCCATCTCCACCTTCGCACAGCCTCCTCAAGAACGTTTGCTCGTGCTTGATTCTTTACTGCTTCATTCGCAACCAAAGATCTGCGCATACATCATCTTACATAAGTTTTTTTGTACAACATTCTTTCTGGATCCACTATGCACAACGCAATTATGCATCTACTTCATGCTTCATAGTCATATAACTCACGAATCACGATCATAAGATCAGTTTATAGTCATATACACTTTTGTTCACCACATTAAAATGTTTCAGTGAGTTAAAAGAAATATTTTTTCTCGGTTCTCGAAAAAAAATCCCCTGTGGGTAAAACAAATAAATAATACTCCGTTCAGTTATAATTCAGGGTTTGACAATATATGACTAATGGAGAAGTCAAAAACATAAATGTGACTAGCTACGTCACTTTTAATTAGTAACTTCTAAGTCATCACTATGGGTGACTGGCTGTTATGGACGGCGGATGGGAAGTTGATGGAGGAGAAAGTATATAATGAGTATATGACTTCCAACATCTGATGTTTAAATTGAATATGAAACTTTTTTGAAATACTGTCTGTAACATGTTCTGTCACTGTGGGCATTATGAAAATGTCACTCAATAGTTGGAACTTTTATGAAATACTCCGTAGTTGATAGTTTGAAGTATAAAACCAAGCTGGTCATAGTTGGTATTATTACGGTCGGTTTTTTCTTCATATAGGAAGTATCAATTTTGATATGTACATCCCCTAGACCCTAGTAACCTTATGTGGTTACTCTTAATTTCAAAATTTTGAAAATTTTGTTATGTACATCCCCTAGCTGGTCATAGTTTTCTTTATATTTCATTTAATGTGGTTACTCTTAGAGTTCACCTCGGACAAGCGAACAACCAGTGAGTTAAATTCAAAACGTTTCAATAGATTTAGAGATAGAGATATTTAAGTAACTTTTAAGTCAAAAATAATTAGTCATATATTCTATGTCCATTGAAGCTTCAAGAATAATTCATTTTGGTCAGTTTTTCTTTGTTATACAGAGTAAATATACTTTATGATTTACAGCATTAATGAAACTTTGCCAAGCTTTTTACTAACATTAGAGTACTTTATTCTCTTGGTTGAATCAGTTGATAATAATCAAAATAGATCAAAGGTTTCTTTTAAGGAAAGGCGACTGAAACAAAAAGAAAAAGCATTCGTACTCGAATCTAAAAATAATCATTTAATCTATTTAAAATATATATATTTAAATGCATTTTTAGAATATTCAGCTTGTTCAGTCTATTAAGATAGGCAATTAGAGTCTCACCAATTTCAGCCAATTCAGCAAAACAATACCATCATGAAATGGTAAAAAGGAATCAGAGATTAATTGCATGGGAGCATACCTTAGAATTCTTAAAGCTTCCACCTCAGCTTCAAGTACAGATTTTGTGTCAAGTATGCCTTCGTACTTAACTTGCAAATCACAGAGCATATTCTGTAAATTGCGCTTTTCTTCCAAATAAACAGCCTTCTCAGATGCAAGTGTACCTGACATCTCCTGAACCTCTTCCTTGAGGCTAGAAAGCAGCTGCTTTTGACAGTCAAGAGCAGCCTTCTGTTTCACAAGTTCGGCTTGGGCATTCTCCAAATCAACCTTTGCTCGATCCAAATCGTCAATTGCAACAAGATATGCCGCATTAACCTCTTGACCACGGCACTTTTCTTCTTCCATCTTACTTTGCCAAAAAAGTTTTATGTCACCACTGTCTAAGAGATCTTGTTTCAATTCTTCCATGTTTGCTAGTCGTGAAGCACGTTCATCTTCCAAGTGTCTTAATTTAAACAGTGCATACTCTCTCATTTTTCCACTAGTTAATGTCACTGCCACTTGACCTTTTGTGCATGGTTTGTTTGGTTGGAACCGATTGCCCTGTCCTATACATAAATAAAAAGAAGTTAAAGATTATAAACAATGGAAATCAAAGTGTGTGTTTATGTGGGAATGCAGGGAGAGGGAGGGAGTGAGAGACCGAAAACGTTCCTAGCAATGCTCCTTTCATTAGCCTGAATGTCCACAAAAAGGTCAACCAGCACTTGTGATGATATGTCTCTCACATCAAGAAATCCAATTTTCCTCCTTGACATCTGAACTGTACGCAGGGTCAGATTTAAGAGAAAGTTTACCCAAAATGATACTTCCAGAGTTTCTTTTGTAGGTTCTAAATTAATTTCCTGAAATTAGCAAAGGTAACAGAAGTTGGGTTTCTTCTCTTCGCCTACCTCTTCATCGATTTCTGGTATAATATCATATTCTAGTTTGGCCTTCCAACTGATCAGATCTTGACGAGAAACGTATCTGCAGGGGAGAATTTCGCTCATTAAATAAATACAACTACCTCTTTCCCCGAAAAAAGTATAGGCTATCAATCCAACCTATACTTTTACCAATTTAGTAATTCATTTGTTCACTTAACTGAGTTTTCATGCTTCATTTGTTCTGCAATACTTTGTAAATTAAATTTTAATTCTGCAATGAACTCCTTTCGGGGTCAAAGAAGGCTTCTAAAACAGGACTTTTGGGCCAGGGGTATACTAATTAGCAAAAACTAAGAGAGAGAAATTTAGGCCACACAAATCAACATGCAGTACCTGTCTGGAAAGAAATTGACACCATTATGGCCTACAGAATCATAGGGAGTAGAGGGAAATTTCTCCAGCGACAGCTTGCTCGGAATAATCCCAGATTCCGCAAGCGCTAAATAATAAAAGGAAAATGCAAAATAGTTACCTTGTCTATCATGACTATTCGAAAATTACGACAACCAGTTACTAAACTTACACTGAATGACCAAAAAATCAGGGTCTTCAATGTCAATATCATTAAATGCCGCTACAGTAGAGCCAGCAAGTGCGATAGATGAATCTATCTTATGCTTCATGTCCCTGATCCCATAGTAAAACAAAATGAAATAAAGGTACTGGAAACCTCAGTTACCCATTAATACTCATCGTATTATCATTGTTGGTTATCCCACATCGGTTGTCTATAATAGGTTTGAGTGTACCACATACGTGTGATGTAAATTTGAGGATCCTTTTGACTTTTGAGTTGAGTTAGGCCAAGTTTAACATGGTAACAAAGACTGGTAGAATGACTGTTTGTTGGCCGCCTATTACTCAATGGGTTTAAGCCATCACGATTTGGGGTCGAGTTGGGCTCGACTATGCACCCTTTTAAACTATTACATTTATAGTCTATTGGGTTTGAGTCTAGAATGTATATGTGATGTAAACCTCACCTCAAAAGAATCCTTCTGATGTCACCTAGGTCCAAATTAACAATCATTAACTAAATCAAACACACCCAATATATCCACTCCACTCATATGTATGATCTGGGAGGGTGAGTTCTACATAGGCTTTACCTCTATCCCAAGGAATAGAAACTACTTAGGTGAATACCCCTAAGGCCCTAATTAAGGAAAAGTGGAAAGCTATGGGATGTTTTGGAAGAAGTTTTAAAAAGATGAACTTGCTAAACTTATTTGCACCTGAGTCTACCTTTCTAGTAGCATACTTTCTCTAACTAGCCATCTGGCACACTCTCTCCGTGTACATAGTTCTTCTGCTTTCACCTCATCTTCAACAATCTGTATTCTTACATCAGATTATCAGAAACTCGAGAGTTGAAAAGAGCATGGACTAAAACTGGAGATAAACTGTCATATAATTCACTAAACAAAAATAAATAAAGTTCAAAGAAACAATGAAGAAGTCCAAATCATAATGTATTTGATTATGATGGTTAAACCGTTTCTGGTGTTTTGAAAATGGCACTAACAAAGCTCCTTAAATTCCTACCTCAAAAGACTCTACGAGACTGTTGTGTACATAAAAGGAAATGAACCAATACACCTTAATTAAACTTTGCTTTTCTAAGTGAAATATAAACTTGACTTTTGTAACATACCTCGAGTTTTTTCAACACAACCAAAGCATCCTTTTGAGTGGAATCAGCAGAAAATGGAATTATGATGCGCTGTAGCTCGCCTTGTGTAGTCATATCTTTTGGATCTTTAGAATAGGAATGACAAACAACTTAGGACCTTTTTTAATTGACTTCTTATTATTCTTTTGATTACTCATTAATTTCCGTTTCTGTGATTGATTTAATTAGAAAACAAGAAAATAGTTTACCAGATTTCCGTATAACTACTTACTACTTAACTATTAAATTAGTTGAACTGCAATTGTTTATGGTCGCTTTAAGAATGATGTTTAACAGATTGAATATAAACGGGGCCTAAAAATGATACCAGGTATTGAACAACATGACGAGTACAAGCAAACATGTAATAACCATAAAACTATAAAAATCAAGCAACCTTCTAGACATTCAGCAATATCAAATCTTATAAGTGTAACTGCCTGAGAGCTAATCCAACGTAACCAAGAAAATTTCCCACTTTTGGTTCTACCTCTATTAGTTCATTTTCACTATTGGTCCACAACTTTCATTTTCTCCACCTTTAGTTTACAACTAGGAGAGTATGAGCTCTTGTCACATGGTCCTTTCGAACACTTTTTGAGCAAATTTTGTACAAGTTCCAGTCATTTTCATCGCAAAAGTTACTGGAATGGACTAAAAGTAGGGAAACAACCAGTCCTGCCCTAAAAGTGGAATAAATAAAAATGGGCTAAAATTTGAAATTCACAAATAGTCATGGGATCAGAAGTGGAAAAAAATTCAATTGCCAAAATCAAAGCAAAGGAATTTGTCACTTGTATTTATATACATTTACCTGCAACAGCATTTTGTCCAAGAGCGGCAGGCACATTCTCCCGGCCGGCCTCAAGATCCTGAGAATCTTCCAATAGCTCATCAGTTACTTGTCCATCATTTGTATGCGGCACTGCATACCCGTGCATAGAATTGGACGGACTAGTAAAATGACTGTAACCTATAAAAATAGGCCAATAATCAGATAATTTCACACTGCGTACAATGGAAGGGAAACTAATGAAACAGTCTATACAAGCATTAAGCAAAAGTTCAACAAGCATTAAGCAATAGTTCAACAAGCATTAATCAAACAATGAAGCAAAGAAATACCCATAAATCCCAATAATTTACCTTTCATGTGCATTGAAAAATATGCAGCAGCCCCAAGGAAAGCAGCAACAGAAGCCCATTTGCTGATTTTCACAAATGTAGGCCAACCTTCACAATTGGATTTCTCATTACAGTTATGTCTTTAAAACACCATACAACGAAAGCCTTGAAACCAAACCTTTATTGATCTCTTTGAAAACTGGTTTCTCAGCTGTCCAACCATTGTAAGCATGGGAAGCGTACGAGTCTGACGACTCCTCCCAAGAAAGCCCACCATTTTTCTTCACAGTTGAAGCAGAAATGGGAAACCTAATGCATCTAGTTCTGATAAAAAATGGGAGTGGAGAATGCTTCAAGTTTGGCAGATATGGAAATCGACTGCTCGAGGGAAGATACAACGAAATAGGTGACACTGAAGGGCACATTTGAGGAAATTTGATCTATAAACAGGAAGAATTAGGGTTAGCTATGGGTTTGGAATCCTGGTTTCATTTCGGGGCAATTGCAAAGATAGATTGTTGTTGATGATATACCAGCTTTATGCTACCAATTTGACTCCATTTATGGGGAAAGTGTAAGCAATATAGCCATAGGGGCAATGAACATGTACTCTAATTACAAGTGATCACTCTTCTAAAAATAGCTCTACCAGACTAGTCCAACGCTCAGATTTTAGTTTAGGCGCTAAGACTAATTGATTATGTGTCCAAATGAATTAGTTGGTCGCCTAAAGTGCATAGTTGTCTGCCCAAAACGCTTATCGGGCCGCCTAGGCGTCTAGATTCATCGAACAATTTGGTTTTTTTTACTTTTTTATTTTAGTATCCTAAGAAATTTATGTACTTTTAACTAGGACAATGCATGTGAAGAAAGCTACAAGTTAGTAAGTGAGTATATATAATATATTATTAAATGTGATAACTCTATTGTTCATATTTATGTTCATGTGTATGTGTGTGCATTCTATACACACACAAACACAACATTATGGATCATATTTATGCAAAAACTAGTTTTCGCAACGCGCGATGCGCGATGGAGATTGTGCCCAATGTGTTTTCATAATAGTGGTAATGGCGAATGTGTAAGAAGGGGTGTTTGGGATATATGCTAGGGGAAAATGATCATGTTTGTGTGGTAGTGTGTGTACAACATGTATTCCCTTTTGAAATAACATTGAAATAGAACTCCCAAATAGAGTAATGAAAATTTCATGATTGCATTATTAGGGTGCAATTTATTAAAATGAGAAGAAATAGCGATAATATTGTATCATGGAAACAAGCTTAGTAGTGTATCATGGGAAAATATGTTTATGGTTGCAGGAGAGATAACATTCAAAAATCAAAATGGAACATAGTTCTGCAAAAATGAAAGTATTTGAATGTAATAACACATTTTGGTGAGTCGTGGAATGGTTTGGATGGTTGTGTATTTTCCGTCACACTGTTTTGATGCGTTTCATTGGAGGACTTGAAGTGCTTGTGCTTTCATTGGGTGCAGTGTGATCGGCAACATTTGCTTCATCCATCTTTATTATGTGCAACGAAGACTCGTGCAAAGATGTTATGATATAAGATGTCTTTGAAGTACGAGGATAGTTGTTTTTTGAACTCCAATTGTCTGGTGAAGACCTCAACTGGACTATGTACTCTTCCTTAGCAAGGCGCTTGTTTATGTATGGGAATGAAGCTTTTTTCCCCTACCAAGTACAAAAGAATTTCAATGAGTGGTTTCATATAGAATTTAAACCTAGTAGAAAATTAGACTTTGACAAATGACAATGTGTATATTATTTATATTTCTACAGGACCCAAATTCCATAAGAGATTATGCTTCATTTGATGATTTTGTAAAAAAATCTATGGTATAGAGTTGGCGAATAATCTTTTGGGTGACATTTTTAATTAATTTTACAAAGTAGTTAATGTTTTTGGCAATAGGAAACAAATGCAAAAAACAAATTCAAAAAACAAGCATATTTGGTTTCATTAAACGATAATTTAATTGGGCGGTATTGTGGATGGTGTTACCTGTGATTCTATTTCCATGACTTGCTTGCTTGTCATAAGCAATAACTTTTCAGCGCACAAGCCAAACATTATTCCACTGACAGATCCTGTCTCATCTTCGATTGTGACATGTAATTTGGCCCTGCGCGAAGGTTGTAATATGATTTTTTGAGGAAAATGACGTATACTTATGTTGTATGGTGTAATACAAGTGGCGTACTTGCCTTGGAACGCCATAAGCATTTTCTTGACCGCAACTCATGCAGTGAAATATTGCATCACAACCAGCGTATTTTATTTTGGCACAATGGCTACAAGCAATATACCAGAGGCTATAGTTTTCTAAGACCAAAGTGATTGTGCCTTTGATCCAAATAGGCCTTCCCTGTTATTGTTTATAGATTACACAAATTACAATGGATAAGTCACAGTAATGTAATGGATTTGAAGTAATTTATAGCATGGGTTACATAAATTTTTGGGTGATTTATTGCATACGTCGTCAATGTTTTTTACGTTGTCAATGGTTATTAGGAAAAACATGTCATATAGGCATTGGGAGGAATGAAGTATATAATAACAACATACTTGAGGAATGATAGCAGGGACTTTAGCTACTGGGGTGATTGTTTCGTTGTCAGGATCTGCTAGGTGGAAGCCAGCATCCAAGAACTTGCGACCAGCCTTCACAGCATCGAGGGTGGACTTGTGGTCAATAGCCCTACACGTAGGTTGATCGTAATCAGTCACATGTTATAAGCACATATGTAGATACAACATATTCCCGTAACGTTAAAAGGGGAAAGAATGGTGTGCATATTCACGCTCAACAATTTAAGGTATTGGAAGAAGGGAGTTAGTTGTTTCCTATTCAACTCTTTACCATAGATGCTTCGTACTTTAGGATTTAGCCGATTATATGGCATTCCAAGAAACTAAAAACCAGATATTTTAAACTAAACAATCATGTGGATGCTTACAAGGCACAAAGAAGGCCTAGAATAAAAACCCACGGCTAAAACCACTCTTAAACAAAAATGCATCTCAGATATTACATTTAATAATCACACACCGCAACATGGGAGTGAAACCTCATTGGATAATATTCCAATGACCTGAAATAATAGATTAGAATAAAATATATGAGAACTAACTTTAGTTGAGCCATGGAACGCAATACCTATCATCTTATAGCCTAAGTCTCACACAGACCGGATCCCATTAAAATCTTTGCCATAGTGAAATTAATCATTTTCCCAAGACATCAAATCTATTTTGTCAGCACTCCACACACATAGTATGGTCAACAGTATAATGTCGTACTTTTCTAAGAAGATTTTTGGATTTACTTCGTATGTAGTTATATTGCCAAGAGTGGTGATCATAACCAGAAACCTAGCCACCTATATTAAGAGTTATTTGTTTCACACTATGTGGAAGAGTGAAGACTGCATACTCCATATCTTGGTGTAGCTGAAAACTATTCCTATAGTTAGTAAATGGTATGTTTATTTGCCACATGTAGGCTAAAAATAGGCTACAAAATATACAATGAGGTTGACACATGAACATATCGCATTGTTAGATGCTAAGTCAAGAGAAAATGTAATTCCGTATGAGAATAAGCTATGGTATAGTTACTCACTTTAACCACTCAATTTAATAAATAAAATTAGTCTACAAAAAATCAATTTCAATTTTCTAATGACCTGCCTTCCTCTTTGTCTCCATGTCAATTTTGCTTCTAGTCATTACAATAAATTATAAGGCCTCTATTATGCTTAGTTACACACCTGTTAATACTTGAAACATGGAATATAGCGCCTTTTAAAAAGACAAATGACTTAATATTTAAGACCTTTAAAGGTAATTAAAGTATTACCGAATTTGGTAAAGTTTATATTACTCTAAATCATTCTTACTCTATTTTTATCGATTAAATATCAACTATTTTGAATATTATTATTAAACACGTACAAATACATCAACTCACAAGAGACGTACAAATGTGCAAAGTTCCGTTTAAATTTGCAGATATAAATACTATACGTGTAAGTCATATTTTGAATATTATTATTAAACACGTACACATACAGCAACTCACAAGAGACGTACATATGTGCAAAGTTCCTTTTAAATTTGCAGATATAAATACTATACGTGTAAGTCATTTACGTGTGTTTTATCTAGGCCTTATGTTTAGCTAAACTTTAGCTAGGTGTTGGGCAGTATGTAATTGTATATATGGTGGTATTCCACTCATCAATAAACAACGATTTACGAATTACGATCCAAATAATTTCCTTACTCTAAATTTGAGAACTACATTAACAACGTTTTAATGATTTGTGTGTCACTGCCTCTTATCTCATTGTTAGTGGGATGATGGAATATTACTTTAACTTTGAATTCTTATTTTCATGAAATCTCAAAAAACATATTGAGATACATATTAATCACTTTGAATTATAAGCACTTATTAGGAAAGTGGTCTGTTTAATAAAAATAAAGGAAAATGGAAACTAATAATCCAACCTTTTAGCGGTCTTCTTACAATAGTCCCACCTTTTGATTATTCATGAATAATCCAACCTTTGCACCTCATCTTCATTCACTGGTCCCTGACCGGTTGATGATCTGCTATTCCAAGTTATTTTCTTATCTTTGCAAAATATTATCTTTGTGAAAGGTGAGATTTATGGTATAATGGTTTGCAAAGATAAGAAAATAACTTGGAATAGTAGGTCATCAACCGGTCAGGGACCAGTGAATGAAGATGAGGTGCAAAGGTTGGATTATTCATGAATAATCAAAAGGTGGGACTATTGTAAGAAGACCACTAAAAAGTTGGATTATTAGTTTCCATTTTCCCTAAAAACAAAATACAATAGTTACAATTTGAAAAGGAATAAAAGTAGACTAACTGGAATAAAATAAAACAGCAAAACACAGGAAAGAAAAGAACAAGTTGGAAAGCAAGTTGCAGTTCATTTGTTGCAATTATTTAGAAGATCGATAGATAGAAAGCAGAATGGAATAATAGGGAAAAAGAAAAATATGTAGTGAACAAGAATAGTGCAGTCATGGAAGAAAATAAGGTAGACATTACCATTTCTCCAATTCTGCAGCACGAGGCAAATCAGAATTCAGAGTGATTGTTGAATGAGACATTGAAGTCAAAGATATCCCTATGTATTAAGAGCAAAATTAGTACTTGGTGCGAATATGTAATATACATTATAGGGTTGTAATAGTACCTTTGAAGTCGGTAGCCTTAATGTCTTCTAGGCTCACTATAGGATACTTTTTTTGAGTTAGTTCCTCATAGATTTCAACTCCCTTTGTTAGCGCCAACTCATCCCAAAGTGTGAATTGCACTGGCTTCAGTCTGTTGGAATTGTGATGGATTTGTATGAGTGATGTTGCAAATAACTTCAACAATATAATAAGATTAATCATAGGTCCTACTTACAGTTCATCAACCACAATGAAATCCTTGATAGACCGGACACCATTTGAAGTCGGCTGGGTTTCTCTTGGAAGTTTATCAATTACAACAACAACCATTGCTACAATATTAACAATGGTATGAATAGACTTCAGTATACAATTTTTTAATAATATGTAAAGCAAGGAATTT